AAAAAATTCAATCCTGACACAATGCATCCAGTCTAGACCAATACCAATCTGCCTATTATCCACATATGGCCCAAAAACGTCCCTGTGTGATTCACCCTGCCGATCAAAACAACTCAGATAAGAGGACTCGGGATAAGAAACTCGAACAACGAAATGGTATGGGCACTGCTTGTGTGAAGTAGTACCACATTTCACAGTTGAAGATCCACGTTAAGAGTGTGCACCCTACCTGTGCGCATGTACTGATCGCGCATAGCTGAGTACTCTTCTTGACCTGCAGTGTCCAAAATATCCAATAGACATGTCTCGCCATCGATCACAACCTGCAAATAATTCGCTGAGTTTTTGGGAAGTGAAACAATGCTATAAGAATGTCCAATTTGAGGTTTTTTTTTCAATAACGGAGGGGACGGAGAACGTAGTGCGAAGTTCCTGTGCCTACAGTAATTCCAAATTTCGTAGGAGGAGGACATCCCCAGGGTGCGAAGACCAATTCACTTCAGTTTTTCCCACCCACCCCGGGGCTTCCTAACCTTGCAAAAATTGGAATTATTGTAGGCTGCACGGACTATCTTGTCCATATGCCACACCCCCTTCCTCTGCTTTATGAAATAGAATGCCAGATAGTGCTCTGCAAATCCTTTCATTTCCTCCCCACTGGTAGTTATTTCTGGCGCACCTCTTCATTAGAGATCGAAGCTTGGAAAAAATACCATACCTGTTTCCGATAGCTGTCTTCAATAGTGGGATCATACTCTTCGACGAAATGATTTTGAATTAATTGGATTGTGAGGGCCGACTTGCCGACACCTCCATCGCCCACCACTACCAGCTTATACTCCGTCATTACCCAAACCTGAAACGAGGCAAAATATCTACGGCCTACTGCAAGAGGTTTACAAGAACAGTTTTGAAAACGAACAAGTAAAAACAAATGCGATTCGAAGCGACACTCGAGATAGACTTGTAGGTGATATCAATCGCATTTCGACCATTTGATTAAAGTAATCATTCAATGCAATATTATGATGGCATGGCAGGTATAATATAGATGAGAAGAGTGTAAAAAAAGAACTTTCGAAAGGAAGACCATAAATAACCAGGTAACTCGCAAGTCTTAGCGAGATTGTTGAGAAAGTGCATAGAGAAAACACACATGCAAAGACAATGTTTGGAAAGCAAGAGTAAATACCTTCCTAAGGCCGATGTCAGACTTTGCGAATCGCGCGATTCGCTAGCGTCTGCGGTCGCGTCGCGGCCAGTGAATCACTCAATTGGCTGGTACCGCAACGCGACCGCGGACGCTAGCGAATCGCGCGATTCGCAAAGTCTGACATCGGCCTACGGTTGGATAAGATCGATAGCATTTCGCGGAAGCCGTCATACTTTCAGAATCGAAAAGCGGCGACACAGCCTTGTACTCTATGAAAAACTTTCAATTAAACTATATTTTTTTGAAGAGCTGATGATTCATACAAGCAAATGAAACTCATATTCGTGAATCTCTGAAAATCGGTTCGATAACAAAACGAGTTATGAAGCAATATATCTATTAACTTGATTTGATTTTTTCCATTACTGATCTAATTTGTGGATGCTTATATAACCTCAACTTAAAACGTTCCCAAAGGATCAACCCGTACTTACTCCTACAACATAAACCGAGCCGATGATTCAGCAAGCTAACACCTTCGCTTCAAAAGTGAACAAGCTGAAGGACAGACGAAACAACCGAAAACAAACGCACTTATTAACGGTTGATTACGATAATTCTTCGCAATTTGCTTAATGACCATGATTTTACTGCCACATAGCTCAAAGGCTAACAAAAAAATAAAAAATATCAAACGGAGTAATTTGCCCATGCGAGAACGACTTCCCCTCTTACTTTGGGACCAAGCATTAAAAACTGTAACATGACTTAAAATTTTAATTGTGAAACACAAAATGATAACAATCAGAGATTGTCATGATTGATAAATTACGCCAAGCAGCTAATGGGACAGCAATCGTTTGAGCCATTTACGATAGCAAAACTGAACTCTTCCTAAATGCATAACCCGGACTTTTCTTTGAATTCACATATTCTAAACGAATGACATATAATAAACCTGAACAACCTGGTCGCGATATTTCCTTAAATAGAGCCTTTTGAGAAGGAAGCAGGGAACATTCGTAACGGAAATAAAACAGTAGATTTGTTCTAGATCTTTGGACCGGATCTGTGCAAAGCGAATAAAATACGACAAGACTTGAAATTGAGCTTAACCCAAAATAAACACGTAGCCAATGACCAGTGATGGCAATAGGGAATTTCAAAGCGCTTTTCTCATACCAAAAACGACAGCTCAAACGTCTTGAAGACGTCGCCAACAACTCGCCACACATGCCTCCGATCGTGCCAGTCGGTGATTCCAAAGGCCACGATGACGAACGGCGAAGAAAGCCGTCGTCGTCGTCCAACAGCCCATCAAAGTCGTGCCGACGAGCTGCGACGCAGCCGCGCGCCTCACCAGTCGCGATCGCCGCGAGCGACGGCGCATCGGTTGCTCCGTTGGCAACGAGCCAATTCTCGCTCGATGCAAGCTGCACGTTTTTTTAAGTGGCCTCCTTAGCCGCTAAGCCTATTTCTTATTTCTGTTTCTCATTTATCCGCTTTCAATATACTAATTCCAACGAGAAACTGAGTATCTTCTTATTTTAGCCAGTAGAAACTTTCGCTGACCGTTTAATAAGAGTTTAGTTTAAAAGTGCACGGTCGATACTGCAGAATATACTTCAAAGTGGATTCTAATGGCTGATTTCAAAGTGTAGACGTCCACATTACGCAATTCCACAATCTTTCAAAAGTCCCCTTGAGCGGTCTCGTCGCGGTCTTTCTGAAATTTGCAACAATTTTTTCAAAAAAAAATATTGGATCAAGCTTCTTTGCATGGGAACCATTATAATCTAATGGGAACAAAGGCTCATAATTGATGAATAATCAATTTGTATCGGTTTTGTTTTCGGATTCGTCGATTCTGGCATTCGCTAGTGTCAAAACTAGCTCTTCAAGTGTCGTACTATTTGGCGCTACTACAGGATCGCGCTCATTGCCCTCGGATTTGCTCACAAATGCGCAAGACTGGGAACAGCGGATCAACTGGCTAGCATCTAGAGTGTAGGATGCTTTCCGCATTCGCGCTCCACGTGTAGTCGCAGAGAGCCTGGACTGTGCCTTTCTCCTAATCTGTGCTAGAGTCCGCGATCCGTCACGAATCGCGCGACGGATCACGGACTCTGACACCAGCCTCGACACATTGATAGCAGCCCGCTCGTACAATTCGACATCTTTTTGTTCATTTTATTCCCTAGCATCGTCGTTACTCCTTCAATAATTGCAGTATTAGTAATTGGTGTTTTGTTTTCGGGATAAGATACCGTATACAGGCAGTTTTGAAATATGGAGAAACTGCCAAATAAATTGAAGAAAACGAGGGTGATGCTCGTGAAAATCTGGTGCGCGTCATGCTGTCCTAAGGCCGATGTCAGACTTTGCGAATCGCGCGATTCGCTAGCGTCTGCGGTCGCGTCGCGGCCAGTGAATCACTCAATTGGCTGGTACCGCAACGCGACCGCGGACGCTAGCGAATCGCGCGAATCGCTAGTAGCGAATCGCGCGATTCGCAAAGTCTGACATCGGCCTAAATGTGCTAAATTGGCTGACTAACAGTTGACGTCCAACTCTGCGCCTACCTTACTAGCCGGCAGTTCTCATTAAAAGGATAAAGGATAAAGCATTTGCCGTTGATCAATCCCTTTTTGGGATGCGGCACGCATTCTACTTCCATTTGTACATTCGTAGTGGCGTTTGAATGCGATGTGGCCTATACAATGACTTGCGGGGGCCAGCCGATGTACAAGTCAAACAAAATGATATATCAAGTAGCGCGGCCACATTTGCCAATTGAGGGCGATGGCGGCTGTAATCTGCAGTAGGCGCGCGCCTAATATTTGCCGATAACTCTCCGGCTCATCCACGCGCGACCTTTCTTATCATCCAACGCCGCGACCTTCTAATTGATCGGCCCAGCCAACGTCGCGACCTCCTGATTGATCGGCCTACATTGGAGCGCGTCAGTGGAGACGCCGAATTGCGGACATTGCCTCAACCGTCCTTTCACCCCTTTCCCGTCTACTCCATTCCGACCTTTCACCCTTTCCCTTCTACTCCATTCATTCCTCATTCTCTAGGAAGCTTCACATTCTTCTCAGAGCTTCAATTTGCTGCTAGCTACTAGGAGTGACTGTATCACAATCTTTTTGGAATTGTGATACTTTCTACTTCAGTGAAGCTTGCACATAACTGGAGTTAAAATAATGGAACGTCGTGCTTCCCGTTATTTGATTAACCTTCGGAGTTTTATCCATAGGATGGCTTGCCTTTAGCCACTCAATTGCGAAAGCTTTCAACAGCTTTTCCTGGCGAATATTTAACTACTTCCTTCTTTAATTGAAGTCTGTTGATTAAGATATAATGAAGTTACTGCCCATCTCTTTGTGGATTTGTTCGGGAGTTCAATTCTACGGGTAGGCATGCCCAAGTTTTCACGCATGTTAACGTGACTGCCCTCACTTCCCCCAACCCCCTAGATTGGCTACACTCCTCCTGGCTCACGAATTCTTCGGTTTTCGTGACAGTATCTTAGCGGGCTCTTGCTCACCCTACCTGTATAGCACCGAAACTTCATAAACTTAACGGCCCGTCGCTTTGTGATAAGTACTATTTGGACTGAATGTATACTCGATATCTGATAGTTGGGGTAGGTGTGGCACCGGATGTGGCGTGCATTTGATAGAGGTTGCGTGGATAAGTTGCTTCCAGCATACATCGCTGGATATCAGCAATAGCGTTATTGAGAACAGCGGGAATGACTCATACTTCATCGAACATCGAACCCACCTCTCATAATAGAATCAGCGAGTGTTATACAATCTTTAAGCAACGAGTCATAATATAAGCACATAGATGTTGACCAACGCGATATTATGAACTAGCAAATCCAAAGCTCCCGCAAAAATTTGTTGCACAAAAAACCTGTGCAATGGTTTGTAATAAATCATGAAAAACCGATTTCCTACACTACCCTATCGGTAGCGTATTCTTTTTATTTCAGTTTCATTTCACATCACATGCAAGCCAGTCTGCGACCAAACAACGATGGTGTGCTATTCGTTAGTGAAAAAGCCCACTATCGAAAGACGTTTGGGTTCTTTTCCAACAAGGTAACGGCATTGTGGTGCACAGGCGAGGAATTCGCTTTCTGTCAAAGCGACTTCCCGGACTGAGCCTCTGGGGGAGATAATTTCCAATTCCCTCCAGAGTTCCCCAATTCTGGTTTGATAGACAATAAACAATGTTCAGAAAATGGCGTACGAAAAAAAAGACACTAGCAGTTCAAAACTCTTGAAGACCGTTTGAACAAAGTTACCCTAAAATCCCATAGATAAGAGCGGTTTAATTTACCGGTGAAAAATGAATTGGAATGAAATTGAAATTGAATGCAGTCACCCCTCTAACTTGATGGATGGATAAATAAAAATCGGAGAAGAAGTTTAGAAGAAGCTCCGTCCCTCAACTCTAAACCCCGCCCACTTAATAAACAATTCATATAGAAAAATAGCGATTTTAACGGAATTTCTGCCGGAATCTCTCTAGAAATGCCGGAATTTGATCTCTGGATAGAACTTGAAGAGCCCATTCGATCAGTAAAATTCCATAGATAAGAGCGGTTTAATTTACCGGTAAAAAATGATTTTGAAAAAATATTTTTATTTTTATTTTATTTTTGAAAAAATATCTATGGA